TAAATATAAAGTAAACTGTTTCCAGTGTTTTTGTTGTGTCAGAATAATTTTGGTAAAAACTAATAATTAGCCCTAAAATGATGCCTCAAATTCAGTCACTAAAGGGAAATCCTTCACTGGTTACTAGCAGAAGATGCACCATTTAAAAGGAAGAGCATTGCTCAGAAAGGCTTCTGTTTCTTCATTCATGCTGCCTGTGAGAAACTCTTAGATGGGATGGCTTGATAATATGGCTTTATGTAACTCTTTCTTGGCATAGGTGGAGCTGAGGGGTATTAACTCTTTCCATAATTTCAGACACTGGACTGAACACATGCTGTTCCCAATATCTTGCAAAGTAGTTTCTGACAGTGGCATTGAGTTCCCCCTCCTACACAATAAAACAGTTGATTTTTTGATTGTCTTCATGCCCTAGTTCACTGACTGACACTGGAGTTATATGAGAAAGGAATCCAACAGATAGAAAAGGCAGTAATTTGGCAGATGGAGCTATTTCTGAGGAGCAGAGCTTATCACAGAATATTTAGATTGGAAAGGTGGTAATTTGTTGAAATGCCAAGGAGTGCGATTCACATACGAAGCTGGGGCTGCAGTGCACTTGTGTCCTTGTCCTCTTACCATCATCTCTTCTAATAACATGGGGCTCTGGAGATGAGCTGGGTATCCAAAATCACAGGCCTCCTCTGCTTCCAGTTGTTCTGGTTGAAAAAGCTGTAGCTACTAATTGCGTATCCCAATGTTTTTTCTGGAGGTGTTGGACCTCCTGACCCACCAGAGCTCAGTGAGCTACTTGGACAACCATTCCTTAGTATGTCTTACTTCACAGAGGCAGGGTTAACTGCTTCTAGCTCTTAGATAATGTCTTTGGTGACTTAGATTTTTCTGACTTTCGTCAGCAAGAGCATACTTTCATGTGCTGGCCACCTAGCCAAGTTGAGGGGTCTGCTGTAATGTGTTGGCACCCTTTGGGGCAGAAGAGGTGGTAAGAGCAAGACCTTTGGTGTTCTGGCAGTCCACTTAAGTTATTCTTCACTTTATAAGCCTCACCATCCACTTTGGTCGCCCTGGAAGATAACTTGGCTTTGACCCATTTGTAGCCCTTAGCATTTCATCCATCTGTGTCACTTTCCACTTTTTAATTTTTTTTTTCATCTGTTTAAATTGAAAACATCTCAGAAGAAGGTGTTTCTGTTTTCTTGATGCCAAGCCAAACAAAACAAAGCCCAAATCTTGTTCGGGTCCTTCAGTTTCTGCTGAAATAATTAATGAGGTTTCGTGTGAGCTGTTGCAAAGTGCCTAGAGATTCTTAGATTGGCCTATGCAGTTGCTATGTTGCACCTTGGCCAAATAGTTGTTTGTAAAGCAATTTTGTCTCTAATATAAAAGGCACAGTTAAAAATCAGTTCCTGTTATTTTTCATAGAGAATTTTCCATCCAAACTATAAGCTTAGAATTGCTGACCTTAAACACTTCCAGATAATAAGGATACATATTCTTCCAGGTAACATATATCATTACTTTTGTCAAGCAAAGCTTAGTTCAGTGCTGTAGAAATATTATGCTTTATTGGCCTCCAGCCAATCTGTTAATTACCTGCTAGTTCCTTAATGCAACTGAGGCTTTGTTTGATTTCAGTGTAAGTTATTAACTTGCTGGTAAAGGATCAGTACCTCATAAATTGTTTCCCTAAATAACTTTACAATGCTACAGAAGTTTTTTTTTTTTTTAATAAATAAGAATAAATATGTGGGGGACAGCTTTAAATTGCAATTATATAAGGTAACTCTTTTGATCTGAGATATCAGATAGTAGCACCATATGAATGTTAAGAACATCCAAGTGTCATAGTTCTATTACTCAGGCACCTTCCTTTCTTTGGGAGAATGTCAGTACTTTTACATGTACCAGACTGATTGAAGACTGATTTTTGTCCTAGGTTGGCTATATGATGCTTATATCCCCAATTGTCTGTTATGCTGGATAATAAGTTTTGCATCTTTAAGACTTGTTCCAAGAGCGAAGGGAAGGAGAGAAGATGCTCCAAGTTTGTTATCAGAAACTGCACTTGCTGCCCTGCATCCTGCTCCTGGCTGTGCTGTCTGCAGACAGACAGCAGGACAGAGCTCTCCTTTGCTTTTTAGTTAGTTTTAGCTAGCTGAGGCAGAGAAGTTCCCTGGACTGTGGCTTTTCTTTTTTTTGGACCTGTTTGCACCTGCTCTGAAAAAAACTTAGGAAAGCACCTCTGGCCCACCAGGCTGGGCCTGGGTTGCAGCATTTCCAGCACTGGAGGGACTGATAAGAGACTGGGTGAGCTGAGCTACAGCCCACGAAGAGAATTTGCTGAGTTTGTCAACTCTTTGAAGCAGCAAAAGGTTTTATTAATATTGTTCTATTTTTTGTGCTGGTGAATGCTTTGCCTGTTAAATAAACAGGTTTTTTCCACTTTTCTCCATGGAAATATTTTCCTGAACCAGTTAGGGGAGGGGCTGCTTGAATCTGCTTTCTAGAGGAATCCTTTTAGAAATTTTTCTCCTAAACTCACCCTAAACCAGGACAGTTTTGTACTGCTTAGTTTCGTTTCGGTTTTTTGGCCATGTTGTTTTAAAATTGTAAGACCAGATGAAGAGATCTTGGGCCAGGCTTCACTTGTGTATGTCCATTGAGAGAATATAGGCTCTGGCTGTGTTAAATTATTTGAGACCAATAATAGATTTTAATCTCTTTTAATGTATCTCATCCCATTCTTTTTTTTTTTTTTTTTTCCCAGAAGTTATAAGCTACTTATTTTTTTTTTTTTTTAATGTGGGAGAATAGATGGAAAACTCACTGTTTTCAGAAGGAAAAAGCTGTGACTGTCTGGAAATGTCTGGCAAACATCCTTTAAGTAGGTCACGTACCTTAGGTCCTGGCCTTGCTTAGATGCCTTCTATCTGCTAAATAAGCCAATGAACAAGATAGCTGACTTAAGGACAGGTATTGCACACTCTTCTTGCAATGGGACATTACTGTGTTCTGTGTGAGCTGAACTCCCTGAGAAAACAGGTATGTCCAGGTGAAAGGAAGTATAGCAATCCATTTTCAGCTGTAACCTTAAGTGAAAGGAGAAGTTAAAATCTTCAAGTCAAACACAGCAGGCAAAAAGTAGTGTTCTTGTCTTGTGATTTTGTATTCATCAGACTGGATGAGGCACTTGCCTGAAGCAGGGAATCACCATAGTAAGTGTCTGGCAAGTTTCTAGAATAATCTAGAAATTTCTTCACCTAATAAGATTTCTCAGGATCAAATCTGCTTGACCTTGGCTTGTTAATACGGGTTTGGGTGGGAGCTGTAAGGAGTGGGTGAAGTGGTGTAAGGGGACGGAGAAGAGCAAGAAATCTGAGGGCAGTAGTGCTTGCCTTGGTAGGTACTGGAGAGAGCTCAGGAGCAGAAGTTGTGCTAGAAACGATAAAAAGGAGTACAGTGCTTGTTCTCCTTCTCATGGCTTCAGCCTGAAAGAAAATAAACGGAGGTACCCAAAGTCACCTGTGGTGAACTGTAGCTTTTGTGTTGTCCTGCTTCCTTCTTTCTCCCCCCAGTCCCCCCAAAATATCCACAACCAAAGTCAGATGGTACTGCACAGTAGATATTAATTTACAAACACTCCCTGTGGGAATTCAGCACCCTCATAGGAAAGAATGACTTAAAGCTGAGAGCAGCTATAGAGGTGAGCTCTGTTCTCCCTATTTGTATATGCTGGCTAAGTAAGGGGGGAGGTGGATCTTTCTTGGTGTACATCTAATGTACACCAAGAGGAAAGATACAGGTTTGTATCATTGCTGACATGTGGTTCTGACTGAAAAATAAACACCAAAGGAAAGTGGCTCTAGCTGAAAATTGGATTCTTAGAGGCAAGAAGTGCCTGATCTGATTGTTTGCAGCTTTCTTTGCTTGTCTCTCCTCTTTTTCCCTGCTGGCCCTGTGACTTTCAGCCATTTCAGGATTACCAGTCAGTCTCTTTGTGCCTGGAAGGAGCACTCTTCCCTAGTGTGGAAGTAACACCTTCTTTTATCTTATCTGCTATAGTTATCTAACTTGTGCATCTTGGAGCAAAACTGATAATGACTGCTAAGACAAGATGGTCATTTCCAATCTTTAATAGCTTATCAGGTTTTAAAAACCTCATGAAAGAGCTGTGTGTTAGTTACAGGATGATTAATAGGGAAGCTTATGAAAAAAAATACCAATTTATGCTTGATTTTGTAATAGTGTTAGACTTGTCTCTTTTCTCTAACTTAAGTCTGTATAAACAAAAGGATCACAAGAGAACAGATTGTTTAAATTAACTGGAATTAGTGGCACATGCCCTTTGTGGTCCCTGAGTTAGGTGGAAGTGGTGAAAATTATTGTGGTTTTTTATCAGGATGGTCCAAGATTTAAAGCTAAGATGTAAACCACCTACTTTATATAAGAAGAGTCAAACAGACTATGGGACAATATAGGAACTGTAATAAAGTTACCATTTTTGTGTCATAGGAGGGGAAAAAAGAGAAAAAATGTATTGTCATTATTAACTCTTGGTTATTTTTCTTTCCCAATTGTTATGCAGGTTGCTGTAGAGCCACCATAGGGAACTTTCTGCCTGGGTGAGAAGATAGTTGTCTTTAAAGTGCAAGTCCCCACTTGTGACAAGGTGGAGGATCCATCCATAGATGGAGGGTGGGCATTTTCAGGTTTTAGTATTTGCTGGTCTTGTAGTTTAAGCTGGCTGGGTGGCAAGTTCAGATATTTGCAAGTACAGTGTCACAATCAGATGAAGATTGGCACTAGTCTGATAGAAACAGTTCAAATTTCTATTTAGAGAAACAGGGAAAGCAGTTAAGTACTGGAAGCTAAAAGCCATACAATATCTCAAGCTTATTCCCTATGCCACTGTGAACAATTAATTTACACAGCACTGCCAACTAGTTGTGGGGTTTTATTTATAATGCAAGTGCATTGATATTCTCTTTCTTCACTTGCAGCTGCCCTGAGAGCTTGTGCTGATGGAGGTGCCAATCATCTCTACCACATCACAGAAGGGAGCCAGGAAAGGTATGTCAGCAATACATTTTAAGTCACTGAAGTCATCTTTTCTCAATGAAAGTAAAATGTGGAGGAGCAGGATCTGTTCAGTTAGTTAAGTAGCTGCTTGCTCTGTGCATGGTACTTTAATGAACTCTGTCTGGTAATATAATATTTTCTTCTCATTATCCTAAATTTTTATTCCCAGCTACAATTTATAAAAACACAGGAAGTCTGAAATGCCATTTTCATTGAAGCCCACTGGTCTTTCTTCCTCTTGAGAGCTCTCCTCTCAGTCTGTCGTATTTTGTGCATCCATCAGAGTTAGGCCTCTGAAAAAAATTTGCTGCGTCCCTGGCAAGGGTTGCCTAGAGGAACATCTGATGCTTGTCACCATGAGCTGAAACAAAGTGTGTCCTCTTCATTTTTCATGTGAGGCCTTAGAGGAAATCTACTTACTTAATGAAGTGAGATGGGTAATAAAATAGGAAGTCTTCTTTTTTGAATTAGTTTTTAATTAGCATCAGGGCATTATAAATGACCAAAGGCGAGTACAGACACTATGAATGTGTACACTAGATTAGGAAATATGACTGAAAAATATGTTTTTGTTTTCTGTGATGGCATTTAGAATTGTAAAACATCCCACGTTTCTGCAGCAGAGGTGTTGAGCTGGGGCTGTGATGCAAAATATTTCATTCAAGTGATTTCTTATCATTGTAGTGGAACCATGAAATATTTTGCAAGCTTAGCTTACTAAAGATGCTTTTTGCTTGTTGTGGCCCTGATTTTTAAAAGTGTTAAGTTTTCTTTTATAGTTCTTTTGAAAGTTTTAAAGTTCTCATAAAACTTCTTTAGCCTTCTGATAATGTTTACATATTTGAAAGTCAGAGTTCCCATTCAATTTCATGTATAAATAGAATAGTTTACATATTTCTCTGTAGAAGGAAATAATTGATTAATATTTGGACCAGTGTCATTGGAGAGGCAGTAATTCCATCCTCCAATCCACAGTCACAGTCACCTTTGGAATTCTATAAATACCAGATGTTTGAATAAAACTGGGTCGTTTTCTCTTTTGAACTTACCGAGCTTCTGTATTTCATGTCCAATATCAACAGGTATTTTGAGCAAGAATTCATAAATAAGTAGTTTCATAAAAGTGAATTGATACACTGATTCTTGGAGCAAAAAGGAATGAGAAGGGCATCTGGTAGAACTTACAAGCTTATGAACAATTTTATTCATACAGCAAATCTGATACATAGTTTGCTTTTCATCTCATGGAAAGTGTATGATGGGGACAAGAGGAAGCTCAGTTTCACCCTCTCCTTCAGAAAAAAGGCAAGAGTTAGAAAGGAGGGCTGTAGCCCAAAAGTAAAAATAAAACTAAAAATGTTGTCCTTTTTCACCTGAGGGAAGTTTATCTAAAGTTCTACAACTGCTAAAACCAAGAATGGAGTCTGGCACTACTGTTATAGACTATATTTTATAACATTTGATTTGTCCTTTTCTAGTAGTTGCTCACAGAGCCACGGAAAACTTAAGCAGGTGTCTGTTTGAATTCAACACCAACTTGCAGCAAACAGTTTTCTTTGATAATGGTAATGCTCTCGGAAGAACAACATTTGAGAGCTTTTGCTACTTTCTTTAGTAACCCATTCATCTGTTCTGCACATATTTATGTTTTTATTAAATAAATACAATTCAGGGAAAATGGATGATTATTCTTTGACTTAATAGTTCTTTCAGTCTTACATACTTGGCCCTTGGAGTATTCTTTTCCTCTGTCTTTCTTCTTCTCATCTTAATTGCTTTGGTTGGGTATATTTTACCTTCAAAGTAGTTCTTTTGAAACAAAAAAAAAGAGTGCATAATTTGGATTTTTGTCTTTAAAGAAATCATTCTGCTGGAAAGAATGTCCATTTACTTCTCTGAGGTATTTTTTCTTTAAATTCCCTGTCCATTGTTATTAAAGAGCTGTCTTCTCAGATGCTGCTGACATGCTAATCATTTTTTCATGCTGTCTTAACATTTTAAAACTATACTTTATTCAAAACCCTGATATCTAGTTGTGTTGTATCAAAAACTAAAGAACAATAGTCCTTTAATTTTAGGGATATAAATACAGATATATTTATACAGATATAAATAAAGAATTTGATTGATATTTTGGGCTTGATTCTAAGTGACACTAAATTTTATGAAGAATCCTTTAAAATGGGAATTAGTGATAATACTTTGGGAAAAGAATAGCTTGCAGTATGGTGCTCAAGTACTGATATCTTCCTTTGGAGACAAGTTCATATTACAGAATCACAGAATGGGTAAACTGGAAGGGACCCCAGTGGATTGAAGAAGCCCTTCTTGTCTTTGACAGCCTTGGCCAGCTTTAATTCCAGATGGGTCTTGACCATCTTCATCTCATTTATACTTACTGTGACAACCTCTCTGTATTCATTCCAAGCGTCCTGACACTGATTCCATTTGCTGTGTATTTCCTGCCTACACTCAAGTAATGACAGGAGTTCCTTGATCGTCCACAGGCCTCTTTCCCCTTGGCCTGATTTCTTTCTCACGGGAATGCAACATTCTTGGGACTGGAGGAAGTGATCCTTGAATATCAACCAGCTCTCTTGGACCTTTATTTCCTTCAGGCCTCATTCCCATGGGATTCTTCCAAGAAGATCCCTGAAGAGGTTAAAGTTAGCTCTTCTGAAGTTCATGGTTGCAGTCTTACTGCCCTGCTTCCTTCTTCCCCATACTGAGCTCCACAGTCTCATGGTCATTACGGCCAAAGCTGTGCCCATCATTCACATCTCCAACAAGGTCTCTGTTTACTAGTATGAGATGAAATACACCATTCCTTGTGGGATCATCCACTTCTTGTGTCAGGAAGTAGTCGTCAAGGCTTTCCAGGAACCTCCTGGATGGTTTGTGCTTCACTGTGTTGTTTCTCCATTAGATGTCAGGGTAGTCAAAATCTCCCACAAGAACCAGCGCCTGTGACTTTGAGGCTGCTTCAAGTTGCCTGTAGAAGGCCTCATCAACCTCCTCCTCCTGCCCGGGCAACCTGTAGCAAACACTCACAACAGCATCACCCTTACCAGTCTGTCATTTTATCCAAACTCATAAGGCCTCAACTCACTCATCATCCTCACCAAGAAAGAGCTCAATACATTTCCAAGTGTTACCTCACTCATAGAGGGCAGCTCCACTACCACACCTTCCCAGTCTACCTCTCCTAAGTAGTGTATTCAGGACAACATTCCAGCCACGGGAGTTATCCCCCTATATCTTCATAATCACAGTGAGATCTGTGACTGCACACAGATCTCTGCTACCTCTTGTTTATTTCCCATACTGTGTGTGTTGTCATGCAGGCACTTTTTAGAGGTATTTGATTGTGTCAATATCCCAGAAGGGGTGCAGAGGATGATGCATAGTCTTTCTACTGATTGTGTCTTTGGATGCTTGTGTTTAATTGAGGTATTCCCTCTTAATCCTCCATTTGCTGCTCCCATGGCTGCTGTAGTTCTTCCTCAGTGCTGAACAAGTCTTTAACTTGCTTTTTATTATGTTGGCCTATGCTGGTGGATGAAAAGCAGCAAAGGGTAATTCAAGAGCTTACCACTCCATCTGTTTCCTATTTTCTCCACTTGACTTGCTTTTTTTTGCTTTTTTGCTAGACCCATCAAGCAAACGAAGTTCACACCTTTCTTTCTATAGCCCTGAACAGGCTGACATAGCAATGAGACTTAATGTCATGACTAAGATGCTATCTGTCTTCCTCTGTGTTCATGGTGTCATTTTTATGATATTTGGTTGGTTTTCCCCTTTTCTCAGGAAATCTGAGTTGCAATTATTTCTGTTTAAAAACAAACCAGTCTAAGAAAACCTTCATTTCTGTAAGTGCTAACAAGGAGAAACCATGCCATATTTTTTCAATGATATGTTAAAACAAATTGCCTTCTGCAGCATGAGGGCTAAGAAGTGTAACCAAAAGGGTAGGATAACGTTCCCTCAAAGAGGCTGCTCCTAGGGAGCTGTCAGTGCTGGGGACATGGGAAAGGCAGGAATGAAAAAGGACTGAATGTTGGTGCTTTTTTCTCTCTGACTCTACAGTCCATAAAGGTTATTTTCCTTAGACTGTTAACACCCGTTCCTACTTAGAAACAAGGATTACTGCTAAACCATTCTTGAATGTTAAACATTTTCTACTAATCAGACTTAAAGGTGAGTCGCTGATCTTTATGGGTTCTTTGCTCTGTCTCATTCTGTCTGCCTTGCCTATCCAATTTTGAATTTTCTTGAATCATTATGAAGCACTGCTTTCCACTTCAGCATTGGGCTGTTGTTTATCTGTATCACTGCAGAACTTGTTTCTCAACACCTTGTGATTACATCTCAAGACATTGATTAACCTGGGTGTCACTTGCTTTGGGGTATACAAAGGTGAAAATGCATTGAAAACTATCACCACATTGGAACCTTTAAAACCAGTCATTAGTACTTGTGTCTTGGATGCTGTTTTCCAGAGAGATGTCAAATCCAATACATACTCAGGTTTTGCAGTGTTAAGAGCATCAAGTTTAAAGAGGGGAGCAGTGAGCTCTACAAGATGAAGGATTAACCAATCATGAAAAAATACTGTGTTTCTGGAGTTCTGGTTAGTATTTCAGACTGACTGTGTGACACTAGTTGGCTTGCCTACAGTCACAGATATCATGTCTTTCACTACCCTTTCAGTTTCTCCCTGCAAACTATATAAAATATAAGAGTAGCAGTAAAAGTGGAAAATGATAGCATTTTCTACATATTAAACATAAATGAGGTGAACTCATGTAATGCATGAAAGTGCAGCTGCTACTATACAATTCTTCTCTGAACAGGCCATAAATGCAGGCAGCCTCAAGAAGCTCTGCAGGAGTTTTTAAAAATTAGGAACAAATTCTGTAGACATTTCCAGTTGATGTAGCTGCTAAATTTCAAATACAGACCTCAAAAATATCTTTTTACAATCAACTTTT